GTTTCACTAACAAACCACCAGTGGACTCTGCAACTGTTCGAAGAAGACATCCATCCATCCATCCATTTTCTTCCCCTTAATCCATTTCTGGGTCGGGGGGGTGGCAGTCAGAGCTGCACCCAGTACACAGAGCACCAGCCCCTCACTGATCCTCCTGCAGGTGGTGAGTCCACAGGAGCTGAGATCTTTCAGTTGGGGCTTTGGGCAAAGTAGGGTTAAGTGTCTTGCCCAAGGACACAACGACAGCAGTCATCAGTGGGAGTCGTGAAGTAGGTCTTATGGTGGGCTCAAACCCACGACCTTCAGGCCCAAAGGCCAATGCTCTACCAACTGAGCTACTGTCGCCCCTCAAAGAAGACACATAAATGAAAATGTAGGGAAATGCCAGTGACACTTGGAGAGGGGTGATTGGAGCCGTTCTTCCCGATCACCCCTCTCCAAGTGTCACTGGCATTTCCCACATGGGCGTTGAAGTCCCCCAGGAGAATAACGGAGTCCCCGGTCGGTGCACCGTCCAGTACCCCTCCCAAGGACTCCAAGAAGGCCGAGCACTATGCACTGCTGCTCTTCCGAGGTTGTGAAAATATATATACAGTATATGTATTTAAATTATGTATTATAGTATTATATTAATATATTTTATTTAGTTTATATATTTTATATGAGCGGCACGGTGGCTGAGTGGATAGCACTCTCGCCTCTCAGCAGGAAGGTCCTGGGTTCGAATCCCGGTCGGTTCCTGTGTCTGCGTAGGTTTCCTCCGGGTACTCCGGTTTCCCCTACCACTAAAAACATGTACAATAGGTCTGGCATGTGTCAAAGTGCTGAACAAAACAAGAAAGCATTAAAATCATAAATAATCACAGAACATTAAAAAGAAAGCTAAAAATATAAAATCCCTCAGTTGTATGCACAGCTAAACAGAACTGTCTTTAACCTGGTTTTAAACATTGTCAGAGAGGAGGCCTGTCTCACATCTTCAGGAAGACTGTTCCAGATTTTAGCAGCATGAATCTGAAAAGCAGCCTCCCCATGTTTAGTTCTGACTCTGGACACTAACAGGAGTCCAGTCCCTGTGCTCCTCAGAGTCCGGGCTGGTTCATATGGGACTAACATGTCACTAATATATTTTGGTGCGAGGCCATGGAGAGACTTGTACACAAGCAGAGCTGTTTTAAAGTCTATTCTCTGAGCCACAAGAAGCCAGTGCAGAGACCTGAGGACTGGACTAATGTGGTCGTACTTCCTGGTTCTTGTCAGGACTGGAGCTGCTGCATTTTGAATGTACTGCAGCTGTTTTACAGCCTGTTTGGACAGACCTGTGAGCAGGCCATTGCAGTAGTCTAACCTACTCGTCGAGCCGGTTCCGTAGAGGGGTCGTTTGTGCCTATACGACCAGGGGAAAATGTCACACTCTACGGTCAGCTTTAAAATGACCTTTAAAACCTCTTTTGCGCAAAAATGGAGCTAGAGCTCTAAAATTTGGACAGGTCATAGCCTGTGCGTCTGGGATAATGGGAAAAATACTAATAACTTTGTATCTTTTTAAACGGCCCTACAATTGGTGAACGAATTTTGAATTTTGGCTGACCTTGCTGCAGCTCATATATGTGACTCGTCACGTGGAGGGCTTTCCAACGATCCCTGTACCATCGCTCTACGACCTCGTTTGGCCGAGTTATAACACTTAACGAGGTGCGTGGTTTCAAAGGGTTGTCGCCCCCTAGCTCCGCGATGGAACATGGCAGGGACAAAAGCTTTACACCGTTGCGTTCGGCTGGCCGAGCCGGTTCCGTAGAGGTCTGGCTTGTGCCTGTGCGACCTTCGGAAAAGAATCTGAGCTTTGCCAAGCTAGCATTTCAAGGTGGGGTTAGGGTCTATGGACCCTGTTGACTTGTTAGGCCAGATTTGGTCACGATATGTTCTACTGGGGTTACAGGCTTGAATTTCGGATATGTGGTAGAGGGCCACGAGACGAGTCCAACGGTGTACATTAGACCTCTGGGGGCCTTACGGTTCTCGGTGGGCGGGCCTTCGTTCGGTAAAAAAAATCACACCAATCAAGCTCGTCACGGCTTCAAATTAAATCCAAACCAGTCCAAATTCGGTGCACGCCTCCTTCCACACAATCCGACCGAAAATCCAAAGTTTCGGGCCGACCGGGCACTCGGTTGGCTACTTTGCTTCCTATTGGTCGGTTTGAGTGGGCGCCTACATATTCGAGCTCAGAATAGCCTGTTGTGTAACATAGTCAAAAATGAGGCTGGTAGTCCAAAGTTGAAATGTTGGTACACCTCCCCTTTAATGTTAGGCTTTTGAAGGCCCAAAAAGTGCTTGGAGGCTTGTAAAAAGTTCAAATTTCATCCAAACTAGTCGAAACTTGGTACGCACCCTTCTACGTACAAGCTGAACATTAATCCAAGGTTTCAACTGGCTCGGCCACCCGCTTTGTAAAAGAGGAGGGTCTCGGTGGCCAGGAAAATCCAGGAAAGTCCTGATTTTGGTTGGAGGACAGCGCCACCTTGCTGCAGCTCATATATGTGACTCGTCACATCTAGGGCTTTCCAAGGACACCTCCGTTATCGTTCTACGACCTCGTTTGGCCGAGTAATTAGACTTAACGAGGCGCGTTTTTTAAAAAATTCGTCGCCCCCTAGCGCCGCGGCTGAACATCGCAGGATCAAAAGCTTTACACCGTTGCGTTCGGCTGGCCGAGCCGGTTCCGTAGAGGTCTGGCTTGTGCCTGTGCGACCTTCGGAAAAGAATCTGAGCTTTGCCAAGCTAGCATTTCAAGGTGGGGTTAGGGTCTATGGTCCTGACACCATGTTGACTGGCTAGGCCAGAATTCAAGCAAATTAAATCCAAACGAGTCCAAATTCGGTACACGCTTCCTTCCACACGGTCCGACCGAAAATCCAAAGTTTCGGCCCGACCGAAAATCCAAAGTTTCGGCCCGACCGGGCACTCGCTTGGCTACTTTGCTTCCTATTGGTCGGTTTGAGTGGGCGCCTACATATTCGAGCTCAGAATAGCCTGCTGTGTAACATAGTCAAAAATGAGGCCGGTAGTTCAAAGTTGAAATGTTGGTACACCTCCCCTTTAATGTTAGGCTTTTGAAGGCCCAAAAAGTGCTTGGAGGCTTGTAAAAAGTTCAAATTTCATCCAAACTAGTCGAAACTTGGTACGCACAAGCTACCCTAAAGTGCCCCCCACAGCAGCAGCGGGGCGCCTCATTAGCCCTAACAAACTAATTTAATAGAGGGCTACCCTAAAGTGCCCCCCACAGCAGCAGCGGCGCCCCTAATTAGCACTAACGAACTAATTTAATAGAGGGCTACCCTAAAGTTTATTTTATTTATATAGCGCATTTCATAAACACAGTTTCCAAAGTAATGCACAATAAAATACAAAATAAAACAATCCATAGTAAAACACTCATATAATAAAAAAAAAAAAATGAAAAACCGTGTGTGCATATATGTATAAATATAAAAATAACAAATGTTGTAGAATGCTACATGTTGTTTGTGCCCATTCAAACAGTCCACTGTTAAGCAACAAAAGTGTGTCTTTATTTGTGCTAAACCATGGCTTGAAAAAAGCACTAAGTGAGGCACGCAGTGACCCTACCTCATGTTAGGGGGCAAGCATGAGCTTAGTTCGGCTGCTTTCAATTCCACACAAAAAATCCCCTTCTTAGTTTTTCCTCTGCTTAGGGCAGCTACAGGTTTGCCCAACATAAATGTAACACATTATATATTATAGTTCAACGTGCCACTTTGAACCACTTTCTTTGTTGATAAGAATAATAAGGATGAAGTGAAGAATAAGAAGGTTTATTATGAAATTGGACGCGTCCCAGAGTCGGCGCCAGACAGCTAGCAAAATGCGAGTGGAGACCGCTGTTTGCTTTTACTTTTTTAAGTCTTATTTTCAAATGGAGGAACACTTATCTAAGCTTGATTTAATATCTAAATGGACTTCAAAATGAAACCAGAGGAAAGGAAGACAGAACAGATGTTCCCTGCTGTATTAAATGGATACAGAAATGGACTATATATTAACATGGAGCAGGGTCTGGACTTGGATTATTAGACAAGGTAAGACAAAAAACTCGTGTTCAATGTGCTTTTTAAATGCTCTTGACACCTGCATGGATTCCTAGAAGGTCTTGAAGAGTCTGGGGAAGTGGGGGAATTCTCAATTTCACATTCACTTTTGTCACTTGTCAATATATATAAAATAATAATAATAATAAATTAAGTATATTATATATATATATATCCCTCTATCTATTAATTAACATAGCATAAATAAAGAGAACACTGCCTAGGAAACAAATAAAATAATTAACTTCTTGTAAATTGTTATTAATATATTGATTAAAAGATACATTTGGAGTTGAATTGTTGCAATAACTAATATTTTTGGTTTAAAACAAAGAAGAAATAAACAAAAGAAATTGTCTTATTTACTTCTAGATTGTAGTACTGCATTTGGCCTGATGGGGGAAGGGGGCGATGGAGAGCAATACACACAACCAGAACACCTACCTGGTGGGGACTGCAGTACTCTGTGTGTACACCAGGGGCGCATGGCCACACACACACACAGATTTTTGTCAGGTGAATGTGACCCAAGGGGACTTCTGAGATAATGCACCAGGCATGTCTACTAACTGATCTGAGATCTGTAGTAGGGCTCAACACGGTGGGGACCTCACTTTAGGTCCCCACGGGGGAATAGGTCCCCACCAGGCTGTGTGTAGTCAGGTTCAGGTCCCCACCGGGATATTAAAACAAGAACACACACACACACACACACACACACACACACTAGACACATACACACTTAGAGTAAAAGTAAAACGTAAAAAAAGTGCAAATACCAGGGAGAAAATACTAAAGTAAAGTGTGTGTATGTCTGTGTGTCTGTGTGTGTTTGTGTGTGTGTGTGTGTGTGTAGTCATGAGTCCCATCGATCAGGACCCTCGTGTTTCCATGGGGCTGAACGGAGACCTGTACTTTTCACACGTCTCGAGTCGTGACTCACAAACCGACTACAGCTGCAACGCTCGCTTCCTCTTCACCATCCAGCAGAAGAACCCCTACCACCTCAAAGTGCTCAGCAGTAAGTACATACCACCTAAAAGTGCTCAGCAGTGAGTACATACCACCTCAAAGTGCTCAGCAGTAAGTACATACCACCTCAAAGTGCTCAGCAGTAAGTACATACCACCTAAAAGTGCTCAGCAGTGAGTACATACCACCTCAAAGTGCTCAGCAGTAAGTACATACCACCTCAAAGTGCTCAGCAGTGAGTACATACCACCTCAAAGTGGTGTGCATGTGTTTCAGCGGAGATGAACAATGAGTCATCTTACAATGCCTCTACGCCCTCTGCTGGTGAGTGGCTGTATCTGTAGTGCCTCTACGCCCTCTGCTGGTGAGTGGCTGTATCTGTAGTGCCTCTACGCCCTCTGCTGGTGAGTGGCTGTATCTGTAGTGCCTCTATGCCCTCTGCTGGTGAGTGGCTGTATCTGTAGTGCCTCTACGCCCCCTGCTGGTGAATGGCTGTATCTGTAGTGCCTCTCACAGAACAGTAGGGGTCGCTCTAACCTCCACAACCATGAAACATTGCTAACAAAATGCTTCATTTAATCCTGTGGCCACAGCTGCCTCGGACTAAAGTGGCCCTAGGACTAAAAGTTTGGATACCTCTGATTTAATGGCTTTTATTCACTTTTGTTCACAGATTGAAATTTCAAAGATTCTCTGATGGTTTTAAACGTTTGTATTTGAAAATCAAAGGATGGGAATGTTTTAAAAATTGAAACCCTTTTTCAAGGGTTTGAAGAATGTTGCAACTGAAACAAAAGTGAAAGTGTTGCTTGTTCTGATCAAACGGAGCTGAAACAAAAGTCCTTTTATCAACGCTTTTTCTAATTACACTTTTGGAATGTTGCTCTTTGTCCAACTCTCTCTCGCTTCACAAACTGGGCCTTGACTAATTAATGAGGGTTAGGGTCCTCTCTGGTCTCTCTCTCTGGTCTCTCCCTGGTCTCTCTCTGGTCTCTCATGGCCTCTCTCTGGTCTCTGTCTGGTCCCTCTCTGGTCTCTCTCTCTGGTCTCTCTCTGGTCTCTCCCTGGTCTCTCTCTGGTCTCTTATGGTCTCTCTCTGGTCTCTGTCTGGTCTCTGTCTGGTCTCTGTCTGGTCTCTGTCTGGTCTCTCTCTCTGGTCTCTCTCTGGTCTCTCTCTGGTCAAGTTTGTGGTGAATTCTCTAAGAATGATCAGCCTTAACTACCATGACAAAAGTAAGCGATGACTAAAAGGGGCCAACACTGCCCCCTGGTGGCTGTGATGATTATAAGTGTGAGGATCCTTTGGCATTTCATGGACACAAAATAACTTAGAGCTCAGGGACAAGCTTTAAAGTCACAATGAACCTTTAGTTTGAACTTTAACAACTATTCTCAACAATTATTCTCACTTCTGTTCAGAGTTTTTCCTCTACATTAGTTTTGTGATTTTCTCGTTTTTCTTTTAGTGTCACTTTGGATTTAGATCAGAATCTAACCCTAACATCTCATCTGTGATGTCACATGCTGAAACAATGCTAAAGTATCTGTGTGTGTGTGTGTGTGTGTCTGTGTGTGTTGCAGGTCGCTCCGTGCCTGAGTCCACTCCTTCGTTCCTGTCTCCTTCTGGCAGTGAGAGTGTGAGGTCTGTGCTCAGAGACCAACAGCTGCTGCTGGAGTGTATCGCTGCAGGACGGTCAGTGTCTCACACTAACACTTTATGTCCCTTTGTGGTCTTTGTATTAGTTAGAGTTTTATTTAAAACAATGTGCAAAATGAAACTATAAACAAAAAATATACAAAATAAAAACAATTAAACAAGACACAAAATCAACAGAAAAAAACTTGATGATTTCAGCACCATGGGCAGCGACATAAAACACCTGGTCTTATATCGCTGTCCATGGTGCTGAAATCAAAATCACTCTAATTTTTGCCACAACAGACATAATTCATATAACAGACAACAGACATAATTCATATAACAGACAACAGACATAATTCTGTCAGGGCCCCGCGCCTCAGGGCCCCGCGCCTCAGGGCCCCTCGCCTCAGGGCCCCTCGCCTCAGGGCCCCTCGCCTCAGGGCCCCTCGCCTCAGGGCCCCTCGCCTCAGGGCCCCTCGCCTCAGGGCCCCGCACCTCAGGGCCCCGCACCTCAGGGCCACCTTTTCACTTCATCTCGAGCAAATATTTCACATTTATTGTCAACAAAAAAATTAAGATTGTAGCTGGAGGAAAACAACCTTTTGGCACATTTTCAAAATGGAGATTTTTGGTTTTGAACTGTTGTTGTTGTGTTTAGGCCGACGCCCACCATCAGCTGGTTTAAGAAAGGAGGAGACCTGCCAGACCAGAAGGTGGCGCTGGAGAACTTCAACAAGACTCTGAGAGTGTCCTCTGTGTCCGAGGAAGACGCCGGAGAATACATCTGTCTGGCAACGAACCGGCAAGGAAGCATCCGACACACAACCAGTGTGTCTGTGAGAGGTGTGTGTGTGTGTGTGAGACACACAACCAGTGTGTCTGTGAGAGGTGTGTGTGTGTGAGACACACAACCAGTGTGTCTATGAGAGGTGTGTGTGTGTGTGTGTGAGACACACAACCAGTGTGTCTGTGAGAGGTGTGTGTGTGTGTGTGTGTGTGTGTGAGACATACAATCAGTGTGTTTCTGTCCTAAAGTCCTCTCACATTAGTCCTGGTCTCAAGTCTCTGTCCTGAAGTCCTCTCACATTAGTCCTGGTCTCAGGTCTCTGTCCTAAAGTCCTCTCAGATTAGTCCTGGTCTCTTCATGGCCTCGTACCAAAGCACATAAGTGACATGTTAGTGCCATATAAACCAACTCTGAGGAGCACAGGGACTGGCCTCCTGCTGGGACTCTGAGGAGCACAGGGACTGGCCTCCTGCTGGTCCCAGAGTCAGGGCTAAACATGTGGAGGCATGGAGCTAAAATCTGGAACAGTCTTCCTGAAAATCAATCACTTTAAGACTGTATCTCTTGAATGTGATTATTTATTCTTGTTTGTTCCGCACTTTGAGTCGCCTTGTAACGAACTGTGCTAAACAAATAATCTTGCCTTTCCATAATGTAGAAATGTACCTGTGTTTGTGACAGCTGCCCCCTACTGGTTGGACAAACCCACAAACCTGGTCCTGGCCCCAGACGAGAACGGGCGGTTGGTGTGTCGGGCCAACGGGAACCCCAAACCCCACATCGAGTGGCTGGTCAACGGGCAGCCGCTGAACAGTGAGTCTGTATATTCTCTTTACGAGGAGCATTCATGCACACAACTGTAGCAGGACTGAGGCTATAGACCCAGGACTGAGGCTGTAGACCCAGGACTGAGGCTGTAGACCCAGGACTGAGGCTGTAGATCCAGGACTGAGGCTGTAGACCCAGGACTGAGGCTGCAGACCCAGGACTGAGGCTGCAGACCCAGGACTGAGGCTGTAGACCCAGGACTGAGGCTGTAGACCCAGGACTGAGGCTGTAGACCCAGGACTGAGGCTGCAGACCCAGGACTGAGGCTGTAGACCCAGGACTGAGGCTGTAGACCCAGGACTGAGGCTGTAGACCCAGGACTGAGGCTGTAGACCAGGACTGAGGCTGTAGACCCAGTTCTGACCCTGTGTTGTCCAGGTTCCCTTCCCTCTCAGGGCCGTCAGCTCCTGGGAGACACCATCCTGTTCCGCTCGGTGCAGATTGGCTCCAGTGCAGTGTACCAGTGCAACGCCTCCAACCCTCACGGCTCTCTGCTCGCCAACGCCTTCGTCAACGTCCTGGGTAAGACCTCAGACCTCATACCCTCAGACCCTCAGACCTCAGACCTCAGACCCTCAGACCCTCAGACCTCAGACCCTCAGACCCTCAGACCCTCAGACGCTCAGACCTCAGACCTCAGACCCTCAGACCCTCAGACCCTCAGACCTCATACCCTCAGACCTCAGACCCTCAGACCCTCAGACCCTCAGACCCTCAGACCCTCAGACGCTCAGACCTCAGACCTCAGACCCTCAGACCTCAGACCCTCAGACCCTCAGACCCTCAGACCCTCAGACCCTCAGACCCTCAGACGCTCAGACCTCAGACCTCATACCCTCAGACCTCAGACCCTCAGACCCTCAGACCCTCAGACCCTCAGACGCTCAGACCTCAGACCTCAGACCCTCAGACCTCAGACCCTCAGACCCTCAGACCTCAGACCTCAGACCCTCAGACCTCAGACCCTCAGACCTCAGACCCTCAGACCCTCAGACCTCAGACCTCAGACCCTCAGACCCTCAGACGCTCAGACCTCAGACCCTCAGACCTCAGACCCTCAGACCTCAGACCCTCAGACGCTCAGACCTCAGACCTCAGACCCTCAGACCTCAGACCCTCAGTCCTCAGACCCTCAGACCCTCAGACCTCAGACCCTCAGACCTCAGACCCTCAGACCCTCAGACCCTCAGACCCTCAGACGCTCAGACCTCAGACCTCAGACCCTCAGACCTCAGACCCTCAGACCTCAGACCTCAGACCCTCAGACCCTCAGACCTCAGACCCTCAGACCTCAGACCCTGCAAACCTCAGACCCTCAGACCTCAGACCCTCAGACCCTCAGACCTAAGACCCTCAGACCTCAGACCCTCAGCCCTCAGACCCTCAGACCCTCAGACCTCAGACCCTCAGACCCTCAGACCCTCAGACGCTCAGACCTCAGACCTCAGACCCTCAGACCTCAGACCCTCAGACCTCAGACCCTCAGACCCTCAGACGCTCAGACCTCAGACCCTCAGACCTCAGACCCTCAGACCCTCAGACCTCAGACCCTCAGACCCTCAGACCCTCAGACCTCAGACCCTCATACCTCAAACCCTCCCTCAAACCTCAGACCCCCTCAGACCCTCAGACCTCAGACCCTCAGACCTCAGACCCTCAGACCTCAGACCTCAGACCCTCATACCTCAAACCCTCAAACCTCAGACCCTCAGACCCTCAGACCTCAGACCCTCAGACCCTCAGACCCTCATACCTCAGACCCTCAGATGCTCAGACCTCAGACCCTCAGACCTCAGACCCTCAGACCCTCAGACCCTCAGACCCTCAGACCCTCAGACCTCAGACCTCAGACCCCTCAGACCTCAGACCCTCAGACCTCAGACCCTTAGACCCTCAGACCTCAGACCCTCAGACCTCAGACCTCAGACCTCAGACCCTCAGACCCTCAGACCTCAGACCTCAGACCCTCAGACCTCAGACCTCAGACCTCACCTCAGACCCTCAGACCTCAGACCTCAGACCCTCAGACCTCAGACCCTCAGACGCTCAGACCTCAGACCCTCAGACCCTCAGACCTCAGACCCTCAGACCCTCAGACCTCAGACCTCAGACCCTCAGACCCTCAGACCCTCAGACCTCAGACCCTCAGACCCTCAGACCTCAGACCCTCATACCTCAGACCCTCAGACCTCAGACCCTCAGACCTCAGACCCTCAGACCTCAGGACCTCAGACCCTCAGACCTCAGACCCTCAGACCTCAGACCCTCAGACCTCAGACCTCAGACCCTCAGACCTCAGACCCTCAGACCTCAGACCCTCAGAACCTCAGACCCTCAGAACCTCAGACCCTCAGACCCTCAGGCCTTCCATCCGTGTACTACCTTTCCCTTGAGTTTCCCGTGATACTGAATCTAACTTGACATTAAGATTTTTCCCTGTAATCTGACCTCTGTCTTCTGACTTCTGTCCTCTGACCTCTGACCTCTGACCTCTGTCCTCTGACATCTGACCTCTGTCCCACAGACATGTCTCCGCGGATGTTGGCTCCAAAAAACCAGCTCATCAAAGTCATCGAGAACAACCGCACCTTCCTTGACTGTCCTTTCTTCGGCTCTCCTCTGCCCGAGCTCAGATGGTGAGACACACCCCCAGTGGACAGGAGGCTACACTACAGGAGGCTACACTACAGGAGGCTACACTACAGGAGGCTACACTACACTACAGGAGGCTACACTACACTACAGGAGGCTACACTACAGGAGGCTACACTACAGGAGGCTACACTACACTACAGTGGACAACAGTAGTTATCTTTGTGGACATCACAAAACTGTTGATTCTCCAACACAGATCAGAGAATCAACAGCCCATAGATGTTCATAAAGTCCGTAGATGTTCATAAGTCTTCCCTGAGTCTTCCTTAAACATTTGCTGAATTGAAGAGGACTGTTTTAACCCTTGGATGTAGAGGCCGTGTCTGCTTCCTGAGCGTGGATGAAGCTGATTCATCAGTAAAGGAGCTTTATGTACATAATGCAGATATGAAGTCACTAATGCACTAGGACTAAAAACCTGCACTACCATTGACACTGTTTCTTTAATCAACACTTATTATTGTACATCATTATATCCTGCACACTTTTTTTTTTACATTTAACATTTCTGTCTTTTGCACAAATCTGAGTGATTCTATCTTTTCTTTTCTTTTCTTTTCTCACGTCTGGACACGTGCCAAGACTTGTGTCAAGGCAACAACATATTGGAACACTTTACACCGGGATTTCAAACCAGAACTCAAACCCGCAGCCTTCTGTTGGGTGGTACGATAGTGCAGAGGTTAGCGTGAAGGTCCGCGTGAAGGTCCAGACAGGTTGGAGTTTGCAGGTCCACATATGTGACCTATGTGTTACGTGTTCATGTGCAGGTTTAAGAACGGTCAGGGCAGCGGCCTGGACGGAGGTCACTATCGCGTCCACAGAAATGGAACTCTGGAGATCAAAAGGACACGGCCGGAGGATGAGGGCACCTACACCTGTGTGGCCAACAGCATCCTGGGCACGGCCGAGAACCAGGTCCGCCTGGAGGTCAAAGGTAAACACTAATGAAGCCAATAATTCCCTTTGGCTGACGTGTCCACAATTTGATACAGAAATCAGACAAAAAGATTCTCAAAGGTTAACATCTGCATTTAATTATCTTTACAATCAGATACAGAAATCAACAAAAGAGTGCTCCTAAAACTAATATGTCCCTCTCTCTGGCCCTCGGCTGATCCCACTGTTTCTCCCCAAGCCAGAGCATATATAAAGAACAGGAAGGAGGGGAGTGTCCTATCAGCCAGCTTCCGGTCTAGGGTCCAGCCTTTTCCTCCGTCTGCCAGACTCCTGATGGAGTGAGGTTGAAAAGTGCAGAAGTCAGCAGGCCAAGACTAGGGGGGTGAAATCCAAACAGGAGAAATCTGTTGTCCAGTTGCTGGCACAAGAAGACACCTAAAATAAAATAAGAAGGACTGGCCTCCCACTTAGAGGTTAGCTAGGTCATAAAACACATGGTTTTAGAATGTCACGTATTTATAAATACAACAGTTTCCCTCTTTTGACCTGATTAAAAATTAGGTCACAATCCACATCGTCGTTTATCATCAATCCTTGTGCTTAGTTCCGGATCGATATCTGTGAAGAGTTAATACAGAGAAAACAAACAACACACAACCACATTCGAACCATTCCTTCACTAAACTCTTTGATGACCACTGCTGTCATTCTGATTCTTCTTCAACCTCGTCTGTAATGTATGCACTAAAACTATTCACTATAGTTTAAACTATTCTAATCCATTTACAAATAGGTTTGCTTATTTTGCTTTTATTGAGCCCTATTCTTAAACATATGTTTTTATCTAATAAATCTATCTATACTGGTGGTTTGCTTTCATTATCAGTGGCTTTGGGCCATTTCGTGGGGCTTTGCTCATTTTTCCAAATACATTTTGTTGAACCAGGAAGTGCTGTCACTTCCTCCTCTCAGACCGTTTGGGATAAATGTACATCGTTAATCAAATTGGTATTATCCGTACAGGAGCTAATCTATTTTAGCAGGTTTCTCTGGGGTTAGTCCCTATACAACGGTATTTTGATTCTCTAATCTGTTGCTGACAAATCGACAGCTCTTAAAATTCTCAAAACTACCTAAAGATCTACTTTTGTGCTATACCCAAATTCACCAAAATGCTTTTAAATGTTTTTGAATCTCTGTTGGTTCTAATCTATCTCATTAATCTAAGCTACATTAATCTAGGCTACACTCATGAACTTTATCTACTTTTGAAGTAACTACTTTTGGACATAATATGAAGGAAATGGTCTTTTTACCGTTTGATATTAACCCTGTCTAAAAATAATCTCTATTTTTTGAAAGCATCCATCTATTTTACACTCTATTGTGACTCCAAATCTTGGTTGTAGTTTGAGCCAAAGCATATTCCCAATTTTTGAGTTCTGATTGTAACAATTGCATTGGCAATAGATGATTTTTCATTGGCCGGTTCTTGTTCTGCAAATCACTATTCTATGTATTGTATTTCAGACAATTCCAAAAACAACACAGTCGTTCTCCAATATTAAAGACATACATCTAAATCAAGTTGCCTGAAAGGGATTTTAACTATTTTAAAACGTTCTCTACGATTATAAGGCTATGCATTTAATTATTTAATAAACAAAAGCACATTCATGGCTTCTGTCCGCTGCTTATAACTGTTTAAAGAGTTGTCCCAAACTTAATATGTGTAAATACATCAGCTATTTGTAATAAACAATAACATTTAACCTGTTCTCCAATGGAGCAGCTCAGAGGCTGCGTCAAGAGCAATGTTATATTTGAGCTATTTTTAGATTTAAAATTGTGTTAAAGCCTGTCGTTCTATGTCTGCATTTTAATACTACTCTATAAACACATCTGCACGAGATCCTACAGATGTGGAAAACAGAAACATCTATAAATCTGACTCCATTTGATTCCTTTTTACTTTAGTTATTAGAACAATTTGACCTTATTGATACTTATTTCCACAATAGAACTATTTTGATTATTCCCTAGTCTAACTATTATTACTATTGTTTATTCTGACACCTCTTCTTAGCGACTTTTCAACCTATAGCTCCTCGAATCCAATGACATTATAGCTCCAGACTATTTCATTCTATTCTATTATTATTATTGTATGATCTATTATCTTAAAGAGTAGATCTGTTTGATGTTATAAGCGCTATTATTTCTCCTTTTGAACTTGCCCAACACTAAATTTAGAATGACCCCCTATGGGACAAATATAGAATTTTATTTCATTTTGGCAACTCCGAAAATTACTTAATAATTTTCCCATTTTGCTTTTTTAGGCTGCCTTTTCCATTATTTATTTGTTCTTGTAAATATATGTTTTACACTTCTTTCTAATGATTTAGAAGGTTAAGGACCATGACCACCTATGACAATAACATTATATACTCCCTCTTTTTGGTCATGGGCCAAGTATAAAACATGCATCTGTGTGTGTGTGTAGATTACTGTTCCAATCCTCTCCAGTTGTTCCTCCCGGATCGTCCTCAATTCATATTGTGGGCTTTGGTGCCAAAGTAGAGGCTCATTTCCTTATGATCCATACTACTGTCATCCCTGAAGCAGGTGCAGTTTATCTTTCATCTGAAAAACAAACATTAGAACACAAGAAACGCCCACTTCCCTCTCTTCGCATTGTGCAGCCTGTCAATCAATCCAATTGGGCAAAACATAACTACATTGACAGACGGTCGTGTGACATCAGGGCAGAGGCTGTAGCCAAATACAGACTTAACAATATGTATGTTTCTAATTTTATACTCCCCTAAATGTGAGTTACAAACCAAAGTTGTCCTCCGCCCAATGACCGCTCACTGCGGTTGGATCGAATCACTGTCAGGACAAACAGCAGAGGGGGGGCTCCCAGTACCTTCAGCAAGGTATTTCATCTCAGAGTACTTTCCGCAGAGTACTTTCTCAGAGTACTCATCCCAGAGTACTCTCACTTTTACACCTGTTCAATAAAGCTTGTTATCTTTGAATCTCTAGTACTTACACCGTATGCTGTTGACAAAAAATAATTATTCCATGATCACATTAAAACATTACAGAAAACTTTTGTTATTCCATGATTCCGTTCAGCACTCCTCGTTCACTCCACACTCACAACACACTCACCACACCCCACGTTAGTATATTGGTCCAGTTTGTTAAGGTCAACGTAGTGTACTTGACATGACGCACAAACATATAACATACACAAACATATAACATACACAAACATATAGACAACACAGGAGGCCTGTAATTTTAACTTTGTTATATTTTTCCATGTCCAATTACAATTGTCTCATGAGCTATTTCTATTGTTGCAACTTTCAGAGCCTGCAGAACATGCAGAGCTTTGAGAGATTTTTCCTAAAAGGATCCATTTCAAACTTTAGTGTTTAAGCCACGTGGTCTGTACTCGGGCTTATCACAGACTGTGTCCCCTATATTTTTAATGAGCTCTTGTTACTTAAAAAACTCATGCACGTGCAATAAATGTTTTTCCCTTTTTTTTTTTTTTTTTTTTTTAAAGCCAGTTCGGATTCCTTAAAAATGTAAATTAGTTTCAAACTTTAATACTTCACCCTTGTTTTACGTTCATGTGGAGAAAAGACCATTGTTTTATGTGTGTTGTTGTACTTGCACCAATCATATCTCAGGTGAACGGCCAACAGTTATATTAAAGACATAATTGTCCTAATTGTTTCTAATTTAGCTATTTGGAAGAGAAACATGTCATAAAAGATTTCATAAAATGTCCCTACATCCGTGTTTTCAACCAATGAACAGTGTTGCATCAATGTGTTATCAGAAATGATCCAAAATCACCTTTAGCCAAAATTTAGAAATGCTTTAAACCATTTTTCAAACTTTAATTGTCTGAACAAACCATTTTGTACTAAATGCAGCGTCCATTAAAAGCTGCAGTTCTCTTTCTAGCACCAGTTTCAACTGTGCATGTGATTGTTCTTAAATGAGAAACGAGCCACGGTTCAGAGGTTGAAAAATTGCCTTAAATATCCGTATTACCAAGATCATGCAGTCCAAATCAATAATTCTAAACTTCTCCGCGTCTATAACTTTAAATAACAATAATAGTTTCAATAATAGAGCTCCTCTACCTTAAATATACTGCTGTTCTAATCTCCTTGTGTCTCATGCTAAAGCAAGAGTCTAATTAATTTTAACGATTGTCCTGTATTCTTTCATGCAGCTAAATGTGGTGTTATGAACGAATGACCTAGCTAAATGTGTAAATATGACTTAATATGTCTCTGTGCGTTTGTTGCCTGTCTGTATATTTACCTTCTGTGTGTCTCATTTAGGCCAGCCACGTCTCAAATGTCCGTTAATGTCTTTCTTTTACTCATGGCGTCTTTCAATGTCTTTTGTCTCAAAGTGTCCAATGTCTTTGTCTCAATGTCTTTTTCTTCTTCTTTAAACAATCACTTTCTTTCTTCTTCTTTCAATAATCACCTTCTTTCTTCTTCTTTCAATCACTTTCTTCTCCTTGCAATGTCTTTTTCTTTTCAATTATTTTCTTCTTCTTTCGACAACTTTTCTCATGTCTTTCTTTGTCTCATTTTTTGACGCACACCAGCGTGTGTCCTTCTTCTTCTTGTTAGGTTTACACAACGTTCTTCTCCGTGCACATAACTCCACTCGGTTTGTGCAAAAGTCTGGTTTTTCTCCATGAAATGGAGGCCGGAGAGGTCTTCTTCGAGAGTTCCTGTTAGCTGCTGCAGCCGATGCTGCTGTCTTTGGTGCCCCCTGTGGGTCTGGGGGAGACGCTGATGGTCCGTGCTGATGGCGCCCGATTGTGGTTTGTGGCAGAGACGATTTTTGGCCAAATGAAACAGACAGAAGTTTTCTCGGAAAAAACAGACAAACAAGAAGCACAAACAAGTGTGTTAATTACCATACGAAACCAATGATTAATTACAATTCAAAATAACCCGATGAAATAATTAATATTAACATTTTAAACATTAAATTCTGAAAACCAAATCTGCATTCAACTGCTCTCCTGAGCCCTATTTTTCCAAAAGTATAATGCTCTCTAAGATCATTCTAACTTTTATATCACCAAAATGTAGGGAAAAAAACTTGTCTAGACGCCTTGGAGATAAAAAATAAAAAATAAAATAATGCCTCTTTATAATCTAACTCAAAGTTCTGTGATCCTATGACTCCATGTCAGTAACATTATCGTGTGTATAAATGTAATTTTCTACAAAAAATTTCTTTCTTCACGAGAGAGAGAAAGACAGAGAGAGAGAGAGAGAGAGAGAGAGAGAGAGAGAGAGAGAGAGAGAGAGAGAGAAGACAGAACGAGGGAGGGGAGGGGCTTCTCGAACAAAGGAACACATGGATGATTGAAATACACCCCTTCTTTGCTACATTTTCCTCGTTTTTATCGTGATATGGTCTTAATCAGTGGTAAAAGTTTTTCTCACGTCAAACGACACTTTACATTTTATCCTTAAATACGTCAGTAATGGAAAACATTACAATTTGCTTACATGACCAATGCATCACTAGGTACAGACGGATCTTTTTTTTCGTAATACCTCTGTAACTATTGAAACATTACATCACAATACAAGAGAAAAACTCCCAGACTGATCTTTTGTCATTTCTTCACATGAAAACACATAGTTACAGCCAAGTGGCTCCCTTTTTTCTCATTAATCAGATCATTATTATCAGAATCCACATTTTAAATACTTGGCTTTTTTCCTGTTTAAATTAATTGTACCCTTTTTTTTTTCCCGCCCCCCGGGGGATATGGAGTTTTTATTATCCTATAACTTCTGACCCTAACTGTCCCTATTTTCTAATCCTATTTCTCTAAACACTTGTGCCTCTTTTGCACTTTAAACGGTGTGCTTCTTTTGCACTCTAAACGGTGTGCCTCTTCTGCACTTATAAACCCTGTGGCTCTGATCCATCATCTATGTTCTGTTTTTTTTGGAGGGACCCATGCTTCCTCCAAGGCCAAAAACGTCTAAACCTGACTATTGTTCTATCGCGTCCGATAGAATCGCCCGTCACGGCGGTCGTCTGGCCACGCTGCAGTCCGCCGAGCCGAATTCTCTCTCTCTTCCATTTAAAACAATGTGCAGATTTTCAAAAGTAACGATCCGCTTACCTCTTTCGAAGAGAAGAGAGAAGAGAAGAGAGAATTCTCCCGGCCGACGGACCCAGTCTATATCTGAGCTCATCTTGCGTCTTCTTTCTGTATCAAATCACGTCTCGGGTCACCAAATGAAGCCAATAATTCCCTTTGGCTGACGTGTCCACAATTTGATACAGAAATCAGACAAAAAGATTCTCAAAGGTTAACATCTGCATTTAATTATCTTTACAATCAGATACAGAAATCAACAAAAGAGTGCTCCTAAAACTAATATGTCCCTCTCTCTGGCCCTCGGCTGATCCTTCTGTTTCTCCCCAAGCCAGAGCATATATAAAGAACAGGAAGGAGGGGAGTGTCCTATCAGCCAGCTTCCGGTCTAGGGTCCAGCCTTTTCCTCCGTCTGCCAGACTCCTGATGGAGTGAGGTTGAAAAGTGCAGAAGTCAGCAGGCCAAGACTAGGGGGGTGAAATCCAAACAGGAGAATCTGTTGTCCAGTTGCTGGCACAAGAAGACACCTAAAATAAAATAAGAAGGACTGGCCTCCCACTTAGAGGTTAGCTAGGTCATAAAACACATGGTTTTAGAATGTCACGTATTTATAAATACAACACTAACAACATGTACTGTAACCCCCTCTCTCTGGGGCCAGGACTCCCCTGACCCTGACCCTGACCATGGTCCTGGTCCCAGTCCCGGTCCTCTTCAGGTCCTGGTCCTTCCTCAAGTGGAGGAAAGGATGGAGCGTGAGATTGTCACATTGGTGCAGTGTGCGCAGTGCGGGTTTAAGGGACGGGTTAAAGGGACAGAATGAACAGAATAAAGCATTGGTTCTGTACCTGTGCTGATGGTTCTGTACCTGTGCTAATGATGGTCTGTTTCAGAGCCCACTCGTATCGTGCGGGCGCCAGAGCATCAGTCAGTGGTCAGGGGCTCCACCGTGCGCTTCGACTGTAGGGTGAAGACCGACCCCAGTCTGTCCCTCACTGTAACCTGGACCAAAGACCACACCCCCCTGCACCTGGGCTGGAGGTAAGACCACACCCCCCTGCACCTGGGCTGGAGGTAAGACCACACCCCCCTGTATCTGGGCTGGAGGTAAGACCACACCCCCCTGTATCTGGGCTGGAGGTAAGACCACACCCCCCTGTATCTGGGTTGGAGGTAAGACCACACCCCCCTGTATCTGGGTTGGAGGTAAGACCACACCCCCCTGTATCTGGGCTGGAGGTAAGACCACACCCCCCTGTATCTGGGCTGGAGGTAAGGCCACACCCCCATGTATCTGGGTTGGAGGTAAGACCACACCCCCATGTATCTGGGTTGGAGGTAAGACCACACCCCCATGTATCTGGGCTGGAGGTAAGGCCACACCCCCCTGGACCTGGGCTGGAGGTAAGACCACACCCCCCTTTATCTGGGCTGGAGGTAAGGCCACACCCCCCTGCACCTGGGCTGGAGGTAAGACCACACCCCCCTGCACCTGGGCTGGAGGTAAGACCACACCCCCATGTATCTGGGTTGGAGGTAAGACCACACCCCCCTGGACCTGGGCTGGAGGTAAGACCACACCCCCATGTATCTGGGTTGGAGGTAAGACCACACCCCCCTGCACCTGGGCTGGAGGTAAGACCACACCCCCATGTATCTGGGTTGGAGGTAAGACCACACCCCCATGTATCTGGGTTGGAGGTAAGACCACACCCCCCTGGACCTGGGCTGGAGGTAAGACCACACCCCCCTGGACCTGGGCTGGAGGTAAGACCACACCCCCCTGTATCTGGGCTGGAGGTAAGACCACACCCCCCTGTATCTGGGCTGGAGGTAAGACCACACCCCCCTGTATCTGGGTTGAGGGTAAGACACACGGGACAACTGTCTATCAGACATTCTATAGAAGGATAACCGTTTGTCACAAGGCAGTGCTATGTGCGCTGTGTGAAGAGAAAGTAGGACCAAAGGAAGACAGCACTAGTGTGTAAATGTGCACTTTATATATTTACTTAATAATATAAAACTTTATAACATAAAGTATCTTTCTCATGAAAGAACCAGAGAATTTCTTAGGATAAATGTGCTACATTATTTACTCCATACTCTCTGCCAATATAAACTGACTGTGTTTGTGTGTGTGTCTGTGTGTGTGTGTGTGTGTGTCTGTGCGTCTGTGTGTGTGTGTGTGCGTCAGATTCAGAAAGGATGAGGACTCCTTGACGATCTCGAAGGTGGATGAGAGCGATGAGGGGACATACACCTGCACGGCTCAGACCAGCATCGACCAAGACTCCGCCTCCGGACGCCTCACTGTGCTGGGTAACCACGGCAACTACCTGTCACTCACACAGAGACGACATCTGATACTTAAGTCAAATGATTCAAGTATTTTAAAATACTTTAAGGGAACATTGGGGTTAGTTTTCTCTGATCCAGTGTTTAAACTGTAAACGACTATTAACCACAAACCTATCAATGTTCTATAGACTCTCTCTGGTCTCCTCTGGTCTCTCTCTCTGGTCTCTCTCTCTCTGGTCTCTCCCTGGTCTCTCTCTGGTCTCCTCTGGTCTCTCTCTCTGGTCTCTCTCTCTCTGGTCTCTCCCTGGTCTCTCTCTGGTCTCCTCTGGTCTCTCTCTGGTCTCTCTCTCTCTGGTCTCTCTCTGGTCTCTCTCTGGTTTCCTCTGGTCTCTCTCTCTGGTCTCTCTCTGGCCTCTCCTTGGTCTCTCTCTGGTTTCCTCTGGTCTCTCTCTCTGGTCTCTTCCTGGTCTCTCCTTGGTCTCTCTCTGGTCTCTCTCTGGTCTCGTGGTCTCCTTCTCTGATCTCTCTCCTTTTCTCAAATGTTAGTGTTTTTTTTTTTCTTTTATCCTGATATTGACTGAAACACACTCTTGAACTTATGTGTTGTTTGGGTTGTGTCTGTGTGTAGTGTTGTGTGTCTCTAACCTCACTAACCTGCCTCCACAGAGCACCACTCCCTGCTCCCCTCACAGTCTACCCTTCTGCCTCAAGGTAACAGCTCTTTACTCACTCTCTGCCTCTGCCTCTGCCTCTGTCTCTTTCTCTGTCTCTGTCACTGCCTCTGTCACTGCCTCTGTCTCTGCCTCTGCCTCTGTCTCTGCCTCTGTCTCTGTCTCTGCCTCTGCCTCTGTCTCTGCCTCTGTCTCTGCCTCTGCCTCTGTCTCTGTCTCTGCCTCTGTCTCTGCCTCTGCCTCTGTCTCTGTCTCTTTCTCTGTCTCTGTCACTGCCTCTGTCTCTGCCTCTGTCTCTGCCTCTGCCTCTGTCTCTGTCTCTGCCTCTGTCTCTGCCTCTGCCTCTGTCTCTGTCTCTGCCTCTGCCTCTGCCTCTGCCTCTGTCTCTGCCTCTGCCTCTGCCTCTGCCTCTGTCTCTGTCTCTGCCTCTGCCTCTGCCTCTGCCTCTGCCTCTGCCTCTGTCTCAGCCTCTGTCTCTGTCTCTGCCTCTGTCTCTGTCTCTGCCTCTGCCTCTGCCTCTGCCTCTGTCTCTGTCTCTGTCTCTGTCACTGCCTCTGCCTCTGCCTCTGCCTCTGTCTCTGTCTCTGCCTCTGCCTCTGCCTCTGCCTCTGCCTCTGGCTCTGCCTCTGCCTCTGTCTCTGCCTCTGCCTCTGCCTCTGCCTCTGCCTCTGCCTCTGCCTCTGCCTCTGCCTCTGCCTCTGCCTCTGCCTCTGTCTCTGTCTCTGTCTCTGCCTCTGCCTCTGCCTCTGCCTCTGCCTCTGCCTCTGTCTCTGCCTCTGCCTCTGCCTCTGCCTCTGCCTCTGCCTCTGCCTCTGTCTCTGTCTCTGTCTCTGCCTCTGCCTCTGCCTCTGCCACTGCCTCTGCCTCTGCCTCTGCCTCTGCCTCTGTCTCTGCCTCTGCCTCTGCCTCTGTCTCTGTCTCTGCCTCTGCCTCTGTCTCTGCCTCTGCCTCTGCCTCTGCCTCTGCCTCTGTCTCTGCCTCTGCCTCTGCCTCTGCCTCTGCCTCTGCCTCTGCCTCTGTCTCTGTCTCTGTCTCTGCCTCTGTCTCTGTCTCTGTCTCTGCCTCTGCCTCTGCCTCTGTCTCTGCCTCTGCCTCTGCCTCTGTCTCTCTCTCTGCCTCTGCCTCTGCCTCTGTCTCTGTCTCTGCCTCTGTCTCTGTCTCTGTCTCTGCCTCTGCCTCTGCCTCTGTCTCTGCCTCTGCCTCTGCCTCTGTCTCTCTCTCTGCCTCTGCCTCTGCCTCTGTCACTTTCTCTGTCTCTGTCACTGCCTCTGTCTCTGCCTCTGCCTCTGTCTCTGTCTCTGTCTCTGCCTCTGCCTCTGCCTCTGCCTCTGCCTCTGCCTCTGTCTCTGTCTCTGTCTCTGCCTCTGCCTCTGCCTCTGCCTCTGCCTCTGCCTCTGCCTCTGTCTCTGTCTCTGTCTCTGCCTCTGCCTCTGCCTCTGTCTCTGCCTCTGCCTCTGCCTCTGTCTCTCTCTCTGCCTCTGCCTCTGCCTCTGTCTCTGTCTCTGCCTCTGTCTCTGTCTCTGTCTCTGCCTCTGCCTCTGCCTCTGTCTCTGCCTCTGCCTCTGCCTCTGTCTCTCTCTCTGCCTCTGCCTCTGTCACTTTCTCTGTCTCTGTCACTGCCTCTGTCTCTGCCTCTGCCTCTGTCTCTGTCTCTGTCTCTGTCTCTGTCTCTGTCTCTGCCTCTGCCTCTGCCTCTGCCTCTGCCTCTGCCTCTGCCTCTGCCTCTGCCACTGCCTCTGCCTCTGCCTCTGCCTCTGCCTCTGTCTCTGTCTCTGCCTCTGCCTCTGCCTCTGTCTCTGTCTCTGCCTCTGCCTCTGTCTCTGTCTCTGCCTCTGCCTCTGCCTCTGCCTCTGTCTCTGCCTCTGCCTCTGCCTCTGCCTCTGCCTCTGTCTCTGTCTCTGTCTCTGCCTCTGTCTCTGTCTCTGCCTCTGCCTCTGCCTCTGTCTCTGCCTCTGCCTCTGCCTCTGTCTCTCTCTCTGCCTCTGCCTCTGCCTCTGTCTCTGTCTCTGCCTCTGTCTCTGTCTCTGTCTCTGCCTCTGCCTCTGCCTCTGTCTCTGCCTCTGCCTCTGCCTCTGTCTCTCTCTCTGCCTCTGCCTCTGCCTCTGTCACTTTCTCTGTCTCTGTCACTGCCTCTGTCTCTGCCTCTGCCTCTGTCTCTGTCTCTTTCTCTGTCTCTTTCTCTGTCACTGCCTCTGCCTCTGCCTCTGCCTCTGCCTCTGTCTCTGCCTCTGCCTCTGTCTCTGTCTCTGCCTCTGCCTCTGCCTCTGCCTCTGTCTCTGTCTCTGTCACTGCCTCTGTCTCTGCCTCTGCCTCTGTCTCTGCCTCTGTCTCTGCCTCTGCCTCTGTCTCTGCCTCTGCCTCTGTCTCTGTCTCTGCCTCTGCCTCTGCCTCTGCCTCTGCCTCTGCCTCTGCCTCTGCCTCTGCCTCTGCCTCTGTCTCTGCCTCTGCCTCTGCCTCTGTCTCTGTCTCTGCCTCTGCCTCTGTCTCTGTCTCTGCCTCTGCCTCTGCCTCTGTCTCTGCCTCTGCCTCTGCCTCTACGTAATATACATCTATTGTATTTCCGTTTAATATCGTAACAAAACTGAAATTGTGTGTAAATAGACACACACACACACACACACAGGTTGTATTGTTGTGTTGCTGATAGTTGTGTTGCCGCAGAGCCCCCTGAGCCGCCCTCGGACCTGGAGCTTTCTGACCTGGCGGCTCGCAGTGTGCGCCTCACCTGGATACCAGGACAGGACCATCAGAGCCCAGTCACAGGTACCAGCAACACACAGGTACCAGCAACACACAGGTACCAGCAACGCACAGGACCATCAGAGGACAGTCACAGGTACCAGCAACACACAGGACAATCAGAGCACAATCACAGGAACCAGCAACACACAGGACCATCAGAGGAGACCAGGAGGAGACCCAGGACACGGAGGGAGGAGACCAGGAGGAGACCCAGTACACAGAGGGAGGAGACCAGGAGGAGACCCAGGACACAGAGGGAGGAGACCAGGAGGAGACCCAGGACACAGAGGGAGGAGACAAGGAGGAGACCCAGGACACTGAGGGAGGAGACCAGGAGGAGACCCAGTACACAGAGGGAGGAGACCAGGAGGAGACCCAGGACACAGAGGGAGGAGACCAGGAGGAGACCCAGGACACAGAGGGAGTAGACCAGGAGGAGACCCAGGACACAGAGGTAGAAGACCAGTATGAGACCCAGTACACAGCGGGAGGAGACCAGTAGGAGACCCAAGACACAGAGGGAGTAGACCAGGAGGAGACCCAGGACACAGAGGGAGGAGACCAGGAGGAGACCCAGCTCACAGAGGGAGGAGACCAGGAGGAGACCCAGGACACAGAGGGAGGAGACAAGGAGGAGACCCAGTACACAGAGGGAGGAGACCAGGAGGAGACCCAGTACACAGAGGGAGGAGACCAGGAGGAGACCCAGCTCACAGAGGGAGGAGACCAGGAGGAGACCCAGGACACAGAGGGAGTAGACCAGGAGGAGACCCAGTACACAGAGGGAGGAGACCAGTAGGAGACCCAGGACACAGAGCGACTATGTTTCTCTCTGGGAACACCCTGGGCCCCCCCCGGATGAGCTGGAGGAGGTGTCTGGGGAGGGGGAAGTCTGGGCGTCTCTGCTCAGACTGCTGCCCCCGTGACACGGCCACGGATGAAGCAGAAGAAGATGGATGGATGAATGTTGTCCCAGATTTTTATTGGATGTGGTTTAGCTGTTTGTCTGTTTGTGTGCAGAGTTCCTGGTGCAGTTCGAGGAGGACCGGTACGAGCCCGGAGTCTGGAGGAACTTGTCGTCGTATCCTGGAGACCACAACTCAGTGATTCTGCAGCTCGCTCCGTTCATCAACTACTGCTTCAGGGTCATCGCCATCAACGCCATCGGCCCCAGTTTACCCAGCAGGCCCTCCTCCCGCTACAAGACCAGCGGAGCAGGTGAGGACCACAAAGACACCATAAAGAGACCAGCAGGCCCTCCCCCCGTTACAAGACCAGGGTAGCAGGTGAGGACCATAAAGACCCGGGCCCGGTGGACCCAGAAAGAGAATTATCAAGTGTTTTGTACAGAGAATTCTTTCCTCTAGGAAACTGCTTCACAGGATGATACTAAAGTGGGTCTTGGTCCTAAAGTGGGTCTTGGTCCTAAAGTGGGTCTTGGTCCTAAAGTGGGTCTTGGTCCTAAAGTGGGTCTTGGTCCTAAAGTGGTTCTTAGTCCAAAAGTGGTTCTTGGTCCTAAAGTGGTTCTTAGTCCTAAAGTGGTTCTTGGTCCTAAAGTGGTTCTTGGTCCTAAAGTGGTTCTTGGTCCTCTTGGTCCCAGATGCTGTCTGAGGGGAGTACATGTTTTTGGACCAGTCTAGTTTAGCAGCTGTGGACTTTTGAAGTCACTCGTTAAATGAATGGGGCTCGTACAGCTAATGCACAAATGAGTTTTTCCACATTTTCCTGAGGGAGGGGCTGCCTGCGGCCATTTTGAAAGAGCCACAGAAACCAAAAGTGATGTCACATTAGTTCCAACGACGGAGAAAGACGTGACTTTAATATTTACAGTCTGTGGTTTATACACAAGACACAGATGACACACAACAGGAAGTAGAACTAAGATACTGGAAATTACAAATTAAAACAGGAAATAATCCTAAACCATGACAAACGTGTCGGGTCTGGGTCTGAGCCTGGGTCTGGGTCTGGGTCTTGGTCTGATCCGGTGTTTCTTCTGTAGCTCCAGACGCCATCCCCAGAGGTTTGCGAGGGTGGGGCTCAAGCAAGGACAACATGGAGATCAGCTGGGAGGTAACACAACTCTGCTACGCAATACAATTCTGCTACACAACTCTGCAACACAACTCTGCCATACAGCTCTGCTACACAACTCTGCTACATAACTCTGCAACACAACTTTGTAACACAACTCTGCTACACAACTCTGCTACACTAAAGGTTATGAATCTGGGACAGCTGTAGTGACAGACAACCCTATTGTCCCTGTGCTTCCTATTGTACCTGTGCTTCCTATTGTACCTGTGCTCCTCAGAGTTCATGACACAAACATGTCACAGATTCTTGGAGAGACTTGTCCACGAGTCTCTGTCTGACCTGTGTGTGTGTGTTTGTGTGTGTGTGTCTTTGTGTGTCTGTGTGTGTGTCTGTGTCTGTGTCTGTGTGTGTCTTTGTGTGTATCTGTGTGTGTGTGTGTCTGTGTGTGTGTGTGTGTGTGTCTGCGTGTGTCTGTGTGTCTCTGTGTGTCTGTGTGTGTGTCTCTGTGTGTCTGTGTGTGTGTGTCTGTGTGTGTATGTGTGTGTGTCTGTGTCTGTGTGTGTCTTTGTGTGTATCTGTGTGTGTGTGTGTGTGTCTGTGTGTGTCTTTGTGTGTCTGTGTGTGTGTCTGTGTCTGTGTGTGTCTTTGTGTGTATCTGTGTGTGTGTGTGTGTGTGTCTGCGTGTGTCTGTGTGTCTCTGTGTATCTGTGTGTGTGTGTGTCTGTGTGTGTGTCTGTGTGTCTGTGTGTGTGTCTGTGTGTGTATGTGTGTGTGTGTCTGTGTGTGTGTCTGCGTGTGTCTGTGTGTGTGTTTGTGTGTCTCTGTGTGTGTGTCTGTATGTCTCTGTGTGTGTGTTTGTGTGTTGCAGCCTCTGTCTGACTTCACAGTTGTGTGTGTGTGTTGCAGCCTCTGTCTGACCTGGAGAGGAACGGCCTGGACCTGCAGTACCAGGTGTGGTGGAAACGCAGCGACTCTAAAGAAGATTGGAAAAACGTGACAACAGCAGCGTCCAAACATGTGGTCCGCAACACGCCCACCTTCGTGCCCTTTGACCTTAAGATCAGAGCCCAAAACAACTACGGACCCGGGCCTGAGTCCAACACCGTGATTGGCTACTCCGGAGAGGATGGTGTGTGTCTGTGTGTGTGTGTTTTCATGACACGTGTGTGTAAACATGACACATGTCTGTTTACATGACACATGTCTGTAGTTGTGTTTACATGACACGTGTGTAGTTGTGTATGACACATGTGTGTAGTTGTGTGTTACCATGACACATGTGTGTAGTTCCAGAGGCCCCGCCCACTGACCTCAGAGTGTCCCGTGTGGACAGTACCAAGGCCCAGCTGCAGTGGACCCCTGTCAACATGTCGTCTGTGAGGGGCCACTTCCAGGAGTACAGGGTGAGGCTGTCACATCCATCTTCTTCCGCTTCATCCGTAGGGACAGAACCAGACAGAACCAGACAGAGCCAGACAGCGCCAGACAGCGCCAGACAGCGCCAGACAGCACCAGACAGCACCAGACAGCACCAGACAGCACCAGACAGCACCAGACAGCACCAGACAGCACCAGACAGCACCAGACAGAACCAGACAGAGCCAGACAGCGCCAGACAGCACCAGACAGCACCAGACAGCACCAGACAGCACCAGACAGCACCAGACAGCACCAGACAGCACCAGACAGCACCAGACAGAGCCAGACAGCGCCAGACAGCACCAGACAGCACCAGACAGCACCAGACAGCACCAGACAGCACCAGACAGAACCAGACAGAGCCAGACAGCGCCAGACAGCACCAGACAGCACCAGACAGCACCAGACAGAACCTGACAGAACCAGACAGAACCAGACAGAACCAGACAGAACCAGACAGAACCAGAGACCTGCTGCATCAGTGATAGAGAACCTGGTCCACTCAGACTCTATGTCCTCCTGCTCTGGGACCCTGTGTTACTGTGTGTGTGTGTTGTGTGACAGTTGTGTTACTGTGTGTTACAGTTGTATTACTGGCGGGACAGCAGCCTGGTCCCGGGGCTGGAGGTGCCTAAAGTCAAACAGAGCAAAGGGTTCTACAGTGTGTCTCCAGAACCTTCTGTGGTCGTCACGGACCTCGTCCCGTTTTCAAACTACACAATGTTCATGGTCGTCACCAACACACAACACCAGAGTCAGCCCAGCAACACTGTGAGCTTCAGCACCAAGGAGGGAGGTACGGACGCACAACACACACACACAGACACACACACAGTCACAGACAGACACTCACACAGACACAAACACAGACACACACAGACGCAGACACTCACACAGACACACAAACACACACACACACACACGCACACACACACAGACACACACACACACACACACACACACACACACACACACACACACACACACACGCACACACACACAGACACACACGCACACACACACACACACACACACACACACACACACACACACACATACGCACACACACACACACACACGCACACACACACACACAGACACACGCACACACGCACACACACACACACTCACACACACACACACACACACACACACACACACACACACACAGTGACTGTCTCTGTGCAGTTCCAGATGCTCCGAGTTTCTTCAGAATAAACCGTAAAGGTTTGGACTCTCTGCATCTGGAGTGGGACAAACCTCTGGAGCCCAACGGGATCCTGATCGGGTACCAGCTGAAGTACACACCAGGTACTGTAGACCAGGACCGAGGCTGTAGACCAGGACCGAGGCTGTAGACCCACGACTGAGGCTGTAGACCCAGGACTGAGGCTGTAGACCAGGACCGAGACTGTAGACCAGGACTGAGGCTGTAGACCCACGACTGAGGCTGTAGACCCAGGACTGAGGCTGTAGACCCAGGACTGAGGCTGTAGACCCAGGACCGAGGCTGTAGACCCACGACTGAGACTGTAGACCCAGGACTGAGGCTGTAGACCCAGGACTGAGGCTGTAGACCCAGGACTGAGGCTGTAGACCCACGACTGAGGCTGTAGACCCAGGACTGAGGCTGTAGACCAGGACCGAGGCTGTAGACCCACGACTGAGGCTGTAGACCCAGGACTGAGGCTGTAGACCCAGGACTGAGGCTGTAGACCCAGGACTGAGGCTGTAGACCCACGACTGAGGCTGTAGACCCAGGACTGAGGCTGTAGACCCAGGACTGAGGCTGCTCTCTCTGCAGTGAATGCGTCCCGTGGAGTGCGCCCCCTGGTGGAGACCTTTCCTCCTAACGTCACACACTTCCTGCTGCGGTTGCCAGATCGTTCCACTCGATACAAACTGTTCCTGTCGGCTCGAACTCAGGTGGGCTCTGGAGAGGTCATCGCAGAGGAGGCCCCGCCCTTCACCAACCAGGGTACACACATACACACACACAGCACACACACACACACACACACACACGTACACACACACACACAAACAACACACATGCACACACACACACACAAACAACACACATGCACACACACACACACAAACAACACACATGCACACACACACACACACGCGCACACACACACAACACACACACACACACAAACAACACACATGCACACACACAACACACACGCACACACACACACACACACAAACACACAAACAACACACATGCACACACACACACACACAACACACACACACACACAAACAACACACATGCACACACACACACACAAACAACACACATGCACACACACAACACACACGCACACACACACACACACACAAACACACAAACAACACACATGCACACACACAACACACACGCACACACACACACAAACAACACGCACAACACACACACGCACAACACACACGCATAATACACACAACACACACACGCAACACAAATGCACAACACACACACAATACACAACACACACACACAAAACACAACACGCACACACAACACAACACAACACAGACACACACACAAGCTCCAGTGCCAACTTCATGTTATGGCATTGTCATGAACGGTGTAAAAAACCCTTGTGCCCAGTTTTAACGTGAGCAGTTCCTGTCTCTCCGTCCTCACAGTTGGACACAGGACCTTTTACTTCCCATGTGTTGGTAAAGTAATGTGTTGGTAAAGTAATGTGTTGGTAAAATAATGTGTTGGTAAAGTAATGTGTTGGTAAAATAATGTGTTGGTAAAATAATGTGTTGGTAAAGTAATGTGTTGGTAAAATAATGTGTTGGTAAAGTAATGTGTTGGTAAAATAATGTGTTGGTAAAATAATGTGTTGGTAAAGTAATGTGTTGGTAAAATAATGTGTTGGTAAAATAATGTGTTGGTAAAATAATGTGTTGGTAAAATAATGTGTTGGTAAAGTAATGTGTTGGTAAAATAATGTGTTGGTAAAATAATGTGTTGGTAAAGTAATGTGTTGGTAAAGTAATGTGTTGGTAAAGTAATGTGTTGGTAAAGTAATGTGTTGGTAAAGTAATGTGTTGGTAAAACAATGTGTTGGTAAAGTAATGTGTTGGTAAAATAATGTGTTGGTAAAGTAATGTGTTGGTAAAATAATGTGTTGGTAAAATAATGTGTTGGTAAAGTAATGTGTTGGTAAAATAATGTGTTGGTAAAATAATGTGTTGGTAAAGTAATGTGTTGGTAAAATAATGTGTTGGTAAAGTAATGTGTTGGTAAAATAATGTGTTGGTAAAGTAATGTGTTGGTAAAGTAATGTGTTGGTAAAGTAATGTGTTGGTAAAGTAATGTGTTGGTAAAGTAATGTGTTGGTAAAATAATGTGTTGGTAAAATAATGTGTTGGTAAAATAATGTGTTGGTAAAATAATGTGTTGGTAAAATAATGTGTTGGTAAAGTAATGTGTTGGTAAAATAATGTGTTGGTAAAATAATGTGTTGGTAAAGTAATGTGTTGGTAAAATAATGTGTTGGTAAAGTAATGTGTTGGTAAAATAATGTGTTGGTAAAGTAATGTGTTGGTAAAGTAATGTGTTGGTAAAGTAATGTGTTGGTAAAATAATGTGTTGGTAAAATAATGTGTTGGTAAAGTAATGTGTTGGTAAAATAATGTGTTGGTAAAGTAATGTGTTGGTAAAGTAATGTGTTGGTAAAGTAATGTGTTGGTAAAATAATGTGTTGGTAAAGTAATGTGTTGGTAAAGTAATGTGTTGGTAAAATAATGTGTTGGTAAAATAATGTGTTTAATATAATGTGCCGTCACTGTAATATACTGTTCCATATTTGGTGAAGTCCATAGATCTGTCGTTAGAGACATCTCATTTGCCATTTCTTGGTGAACGCCGTTGTACTCGTGTTTTATAGTAGGCCATATTGTGCGGTAGGAGGGGATAAGCCTGTAGCAGCGTGCTGATTGGTTGTCTTTGTTTGTCTGTCAGCACAGTCCGTTTAGGGAAGCTGCTGATTGGCTGTTGTTGAGAAGGTTGCTTCTGGGCTAGCATTAGCGTGGGGTGCTTTTACTTTTGTTGTACTTTAGAGTACTTTTGTTGTACTTTAGAGTTCTTTTACATAAGCTAACGTCACCTGTGTGTACCGCTTTCATCTTTAGTAAATTAACTCCAAACGCTTATAGTGCTACCTCGGCGTGATGATTGGGTAGAGACACTAGGACCCTCGCTTGGCATGTCCTGCGCTGTTATGTTGTGCCAAAGTCACGTGCAGTACTGCGCTGTTATGTTGTGCCAAAGTCACGTGCAGTACTGCGCCGTTATGTTGTGCCAAAGTCACGTGCAGTACTACGCCGTTATGTTGTGCCAAAGTCACGTGCAGTACTGCGCCGTTATGTTGTGCCAAAGTCACGTGCAGTACTGCGCCGTTATGTTGTGCCAAAGTCTCGTGCAGTACTGCGCTGTTATGTTGTGCCAAAGTCACGTGCAGTACTGCGCCGTTATGTTGTGCCAAAGTCTCGTGCAGTACTGCGCCGTTATGTTGTGGCAAAGTCACGTGCAGTACTGCGCCGTTATGTTGTGCCAAAGTCACGTGCAGTACTGCGCCGTTATGTTGTGCCAAAGTCTCGTGCAGTACTGCGCTGTTATGTTGTGGCAAAGTCACGTGCAGTACTGCGCCGTTATGTTGTGCCAAAGTCTCGTGCAGTACTGCGCCGTTATGTTGTGGCAAAGCCACGTGCAGTACTGCGCCGTTATGTTGTGGCAAAGTCACGTGCAGTACTGCGCCGTTATGTTGTGCCAAAGTCTCGTGCAGTACTGCGCTGTTATGTTGTGGCAAAGTCACGTGCAGTACTGCGCCGTTATGTTGTGCCAAAGTCTCGTGCAGTACTGCGCCGTTATGTTGTGGCAAAGTCACGTGCAGTACTGCGCCGTTATGTTGTGCCAAAGTCACGTGCAGTACTACGCCGTTATGTTGTGCCAAAGTCACGTGCAGTACTGCGTCGCCGTCTAGTCGATGTCACATGAACAAAGCTGCGAGACAACAACAAAGCTGCGAGACAGGAGCGTAAGTTTATTGTAACACACGTGCGGAGAGCTCACATACACAAAAGCAGCGTACATCAGCTCTGGCGCGGCCAGACCAGGTTCCTGTTTACATAGACAACACATGAAAGACAGTCACGCCCACAAAAGATGGGAGGGGGTCACAGTTTGAGACGGGCATCCGGAGGCGAGGCGCCATCTCTGGGGAGAGACAATCAGACTGTCCCATGGAGATGCAAACAGAGAGACAATAGACATGCAGGATGTAGAGATGCAGACATACGGACCGATACAGATGCAAGATGCAAAAGGGACAAGGGTGAGACAGTTATTTGCGTCATTGTCTGTCGGTGCGGGGGGGAGCCCGGCTCCTTCCTGCAGGTTAATTGAATAGAGCAGCAGGGGGGGTGAGTTGGCGTCCCCGAGGCTAGGCAGCTTGCCATCACACTCCTCTCCCGTGATAATGTAGAAACCCCAGTTTTACAGAGATCACATTCAGGTGGGTGAGTATTGACCTTGGTCCCTGAGCAAAACAAGAGTTGTTGATGGACAGGCTACGCTGCCGTCACCCAAGCCTCTTGTATTACGAGGGTGTGGTCAAAGCTCTTCACTGTGATACCCTCCCCCTAAATTGTAGGCGAAACAAGTGGAAAAATAAAAACAAGGTAAACAAGAAAGAAAAACGTTAGACAAAGTCATCGTCCGAATCGCTGATATAATCAGGATCGGAGTTCAGTGGGACAGCGGCCAGGTCCGCCTCGGGGTCTTTGTATTGAATGGACACAAAGTGAGTGGATATCATTTTACCAACGGCCCGAAACACCATAGGTAATACACATGAAAATAAAATCATAACAGTCAATAGGGCTAAACCAAGATTAATGAGCACACTCCGCCAGGAGGACAGGAGCCAGTCCAGACCGTGAGGAGTGTCCGTGACATTGTCCGCTTGCATGGCGTCCCGGAGTCTAGTCAGATTGGCTATGCCCTGTTGGATAAGACCTCCGTCCTCATCATTAGCCGGAATATATGTACAGCAGGACGACCCAATGATTGTGCATACGCCTCCCACAGACGCGGTCAGGTGGTCCAGGACCAACCGGTCCTGAAGAACAACGGCACGTAGGTCGTGAAGTTCAACTCTCTGTGATTCAAGTATGGCCACTGTGGTATTGACAAAACCTGAGAACCTATAGCTCAGGGTCTCCGTCCTTAGCATTAGTTTACCTACACCCAGGCTGGGGAATAATGCTAACATTATTTTCTGGCCTGTGGTCCATAACTTGTGGTCATCGGGTACATTAGTGCCCCACAGGGGGTCGTGTGGTGTGTAGAGTTCTCTCTTGTCTCGGTGTTGGGCCTTAGGGAGTGTGGAGATGATGTATGAATGGTCGGCAGGAAGGGCGGCCGCACAGCGTCCCTCCCATTTTGCGGGCAGACAGTCATACATGCGATACCCGCACAGATACATGTGAGACTCTACGGGCCGCGTTCCTAAAATGTCTGGTACCGTATAGTACGGGACACACACGCTTCCCGGGGCTGCCTGGGAATCGTTAAGTTTGCTGCTGTTGGCCATGTATGTGCAGGGGCTATATACAATAGAGCAGAACTCAAGTGGGATATTTCCCACATGAATGGGCTCTTTCGGGAGAGTAAGACTGGTGTTGGCCCGAGACCAGGAGTGGGTGTAGCATATAAATTTGGAGCCAGGTTTGATGTGCACTGGGCCGAAGATTGGCTCTTCCCCCGGGTGGCTGCCGGATTTGAGACGCAGCTCTCCCTGGGCAAGGGGCTTGAGTTTTGGGGGCACCGCAAAAAACATTGCTGGAGCCCTGGGATCGGACATTGAAACCAGGGTGTGAGGGATGATTTTGGAAATGTTTGGCACCGGTAAGGGGATTATGTGGGGGTTAGCGGCGGCTATAGGAAGGTGGGTGCATACGTAGCAATTGGATCTATTGTGGCTATCTGCGACGTATTTTGCATACTGATACCAAAGGTTGAGTGAATAAACTGTAGAGTGTTTGTAGGATTTACTCAAGGCCTCCAACCAAGCAGTGTCGTCGGAAGCAAGGCTGCGTTTAATGCGTGTCATGGCTTGAATCACAGGGTTTTGAGTTTCAGAAGAAGACAATACTAACATAATAAACACGGTCAGCACGGAAAGTAGTGTCAGTGTGGCCAGCATAACAGTCCAAGGGCCCATGCCGGTCTTAGCCGGACTGCATTCGGTAGTCTTTTCCGCGGGAATACTCACGAACAGTGCCGTCTTGCAGTCAGTGGCACCGCTCCCTGTGAGCGTGTGTGGAGCGTTAGTGGTCATGGCGATGTTTGGTCTTGGAGCGGCAAGACTCTAATCGCGTTGAAGCCTTGGCCTCAGCACTCGGTTGGGCAGAGTGCTCGGGGTTTGGGGTGTGGCCTTGGGGTCCGGGGGCTGGGGAGTTGGGCAAAGGGGGGTCGCCTCGGGAACGCTGGGATTCTCTGGGTGTTGTTGTTGGCCTGCTTCACCGACGGTGGTCGCACGCCGGCCGACCTCTTCAGCGTAGGGAGCCGCGGATGGGCCTGGTCCGTCCGCGCCCTCGGTGTCCTCGTCTATGGCCCTCAGTGGCAGCACCGCACGACAGTGGTTGGCGTGTATCCAAGTTGTCCTCTCCGCGACATTAACGGCAGTGTCCGTCACCAGGAGGACGAGGAATGGGCCCAGCCAGCGCTTGGACCGCCAATGTTTTCGTCTCGTTTCCTTCACCAGGACCCAGTCGCCTGGCTTGATCTTGTGCAGAGCCGCCTGCGCAGCCTGTGGCAGGGCGCTCCTGACCTGGGCAGAAATAGAGGACAAAAGTGCATTAATTTCCTTACAATAGGACAGCATGTCGTCATCACACAAAGAGGTGCTTGGCAAATCTCTGGTCGGGGGTCCCGCGCCCAAGTTGGGTGGTCTGGCAAAGAGGATTTCGAATGGGCTTAGGTTTGACCTTGACCTGACTCTCATGCGCATGTACATGAGGGCTAGCGGCAGAGCTTTGATCCAAGACAGGTCTGTCTGTTCGCAGATTTTAACAAGTTTGGTTTTCAGAGTGCCATTCTCTCGCTCGCACGCGCCTCCGCTCCAGGGGGCGTAACTGCAATGTTTACGTATATCAATGCCCAGAAATTCACCTACTTCCTCAATGACTTTTGCTACAAAGTGACTGCCATTGTCACTAGAGATTTTTTCCGGGACACCCCATCGTGGCACAATTTCTGTGAGCAGAGCTTTCACCACCGCATTGCTCGTGGCGTGTTTGCATGCAAATACTTCAGTCCATTTGGACCAGAGATCCACCAGAACCAGACAGTATTTCTTACCTTGGCATGGTGTGAGTTCAACAAAGTCCATTTGGACATGTTGAAATGGGCGCAGGGGCGGAGGATGAGCAGCCTGTTGGATAATTTGGGACTTACCTGGGTTGTGCGCGAGGCAGATAGCGCATGTTTGGCAGAATCTCTGTGCAAATGCCGTAAACCCCTTTGTATACCAATTTTGTGTGATTAAATTACACATCCCTCCTTTTGAGGCATGGTCTCGACCATGTGCTAAAATTGCAAAATGTCTGAAGAAATGCCGTGGTAAGCACGGTTTGCTGTCTGGTCCCAGCCACACACCATGCCGTCGTTGAGCCCCATTTCCCTCCCACAGCACCGTCTCTGCTGGAGTAGCCAGTGCCTGCATTGCTGACAGAGAGGAGAAAATATCAACGTCTTGAGTGAGGTAGTGTGTGTGTGTGTGTAGAGGTGCGTATGCCGCTGCCTTCGCTGCCTTGTCCGCGTGCCGATTCCCTGCAGAGATGGGGTCAGTGGCATTAGTGTGGGCCTGGCATTTGCATACAGCGATCTCTAAGGGCAACATTACAGCTTTCAGCAGACGTTCAACCTGTGTGGAATTAAGAATTGGTTTACCATCAGATTTCATGAAATTGCGGTGTTTCCACAGTGCCCCCCAGTCGTGCACCACAGAGAAACCATAGCGCGTATCACAGAATATGTTAACAGTTTTGCCCGCTGCCAGCTCACAAGCCCTGGTGAGCGCGACCAGTTCAGCGGTTTGTGCTGAATAGTGGTGGGGCAAACTACCAGAGTCTATAGTATCAAAATCAGAACACACAGCATAGCCGACTCGGTTCTTCCCAGTGTTGTCACGTGATGCTGATCCATCTGTATAAAAAATCAAGTCAGGATTAGTCAGAGGCACCTCTTTCAGGTCTGGCCTGGGAGTGCATATCTGTTCTATTGTGGCAATACAGCAGTGTGCCTCCCCTTCCTCTGGCGTGGGAAGCAGTGAGGAGGGGTTCAGCTGTGTGCATCTTTTCACCGTGACATTGGGGAGTTCAAGGAGCACCGTGTTGTATTTCAGCCAGCGAGCCGCAGAAAGGTGAGAGGTTTTCTGCTCTAGCAGGATCAGGGAAACAGCATGGGGCACAAGCAAAGTTAGTTCAGTGTATCCCACAAGGTCACGTGATGCTAGGGCCGCTTTCTCAGCGGCAGCCACAGCCCGCAGGCAGCGAGGCAACCCTGCTGCCACGGGATCGAGTTTTGCTGAGAAGTAAGCAGTGGGTCTCAGTGGCCCTCCGTGAGACTGCAAAAGTACCGACACCATGCACCCACACCGCTCATCCACAGTCTGAGTGAATGGGCGGGTTGGGTCAGGGAGACCTAGTGTGGGCGGGCTTTGTAGGGCAATTTTCAGATCACAGAAAGATTTTTCAGCTTCTGGGGTCCATGTGATCCTGTCGCATGTGCGCAGACCCTTCCCATGTATGAGTGCACCGAGCGGAGTTTCCAATACTGAATAGTTGGGAATAAACTGTCAACAGTAGGAGCACATCCCTAAGAATGACATTAATTGTTTTTTTGTCTGGGGTTTTGGAAGGTTTTGGATTGCCGCCACTCTGTTGGTGGAAAGGCTTTTGCCGTGTTCAGAAATCACGT